CAGGAGCAAGTGTGCTTTTGAAGAGTTCAGGATTGGATTGCGAAAGCAGGAACTTGGCCATCGTCAGGAAGGGCTGTTTGCTGACGATTGCTGCTCGAGAATGTTCGTCGTAACTACAGTCAGGCTGTGAGACAAGTTTTGGAAAAGGCCAATGAATGGTCCTGTGGAAGTGACGCCTGGACAAGTACAGGAAACTTCGTCAGCAGAAAGTCAGTTTAGAAAATCAAGCAGTAGGTGTCTCAGGATTCAGAATCACATCAGGTAATTCATGGCTTTGTTAGGTGTCGCTTCTTTTATCATATGTCATTATTTATCACCATGGCTGGCCAAAGGATTGTGAGGGACGTTGTTGACTTCATTCCAATGACTCAGTTCATCATATCATAGCATTAAGCGCCTTAAGCAGCCGCCTAACCTGTACTTCTCCTCAGATCGTGATGGACGTGTTGGACTTCCTTGGCGGCGACGTGACAGTGCGGTTGGTGGAAGGAAAGGAGCTGCTGGTGGAGGGTCAAGCAGAGAGGCAGGACGGAGGCAGAGTGTCCCGAGTGAGCTTCGTGCGTCGCTTCGCCTTGCCTGAGCTCGTCGAGCGAGACGCCGTCAGCTGCGTGTTGTCCTCGGACGGAATCCTGACGATCGTCTCCAAGAAGAAGGGAGACGCCCCTGGCCAGCGCGACCGCAGGAGTGCCCAGTAGGATGGAGTCCTATCCTGGCATGGGCAGAGGTGGAGGGCTGAAGGGCGCTGGAGACTTTGAGGATTCAGGATCCCAAGATTCAGAACCGGTTCCTGCATCAAGCATAAGCTGTGCAATAAGTACCAGTCTGCACTGGTTTCCTGAGAGCTGCAATTTCTATAGACCGTAATCTATTCTAAAATATATTTTTGGTATTAAAAGATTATGTGAAACGTTTATGTACATGTGTCCTTTGTAAATGTAATGTTGTTTTTTACATTACTGAAAATATACCGTTTTTCTAAATAAATATGGTAATGAATGTGGATGTTTCATGGAAACTCCAACCCTGACAAAAATGTGTACGTATTTTTTTCAATCACACTCATATATATATATATATATATATATATATATATATATATATATATATATATATATATATAAATCTTATACATATATAAGCCTATGCGTTTATACAAAAAATTATTAGAACAGTGAGTAAAGCTCAAATATACATGGATGTCGACACACATATGAATACATACTTACCCATATACGATATACAGACATGTCCATTTCTGTATCTACATATCTACAGTACACACAGAAATATATGTGCGTGTATATAATATGTATGTGTGTATCAGTGGCACGACGTTTGGTGTCCCATAGCTGACAACATAAAAGCTTGGATCAAGTATTCGTAGGAGATCGCTTAATGCCCATGCACTCTCTCTCTCTCTCTCTCTCTCTCTCTCTCTCTCTCTCTCTCTCTCTCTCTCTCTCTCTCTCTCTCTCTCTTCTCTCACACATATATATATATATATATATATATATATATATATATATATATATATATATATATATATATATATATATAGTTAATATATCTTCATCTCTCTTTCTCTACCTCTCTCCCTCTGTCCGTCAAAAATAGAAATAAACAAAAAAGGAAGGAAAGGATATTACATGTTCGTTTTTGTATCTTAAACCTTATATATATCTCCTCCTCTCCTTGCCTTCATGAGTGATATTACCGTTTTCCTCTTGAAGTAATAGATAATTTGACGAATTCAGCTTCTTTTCCAAATGGGTGTACTGCGTGCCACTCCCTTCGGCTGTGAATGATTTTCTTTTTCTTATGGTCGAGTCAGTGGCACTTATGAAGAGCAAATGATTAACTTAAATGAGGATGATGATGTGACTTGGAAGAGGAATAATATGAATAAGAATGATAATAGTCATAGTAATGATGATATTTTGATCACAATGATGTTATTGACGATGGAAATGAAAATGAAATTATAACAAGAACAATGCTTATGGAAATTTTAAGAATAATAATGAGAATAAGAATAAGAATAGTAACAATGATCATAACATGATGATATTGATACTATTAGTGTTACTGCTAATGATGATGGTGATGATAATGATGACAATGATATTAATAATTGTCATTATACCAATAAGTATAATAGTAATAGTATTTCAATATGAAAGATGATAATAATAACAGTAATGATTATAACAATAAAAATAATAGCGTTAGCAATACCAATACTATTAGTATTATTACTGGTAATAATGGTGGCAATACTGATACTAATAGTAATATTGATACTAACAAATAAGGTAATTCTTAAAATAAAAAAAAAAAAAAAAAAAAACTATGATGAGAGAAATAATAAAAAAATGGTAATGATTTCGATAATAACAACGATGACGATAACGATGACAAAAGTACAAAACAAAAATAGAAAAATAACACCAACAACACTGATGCTAATGCCAGTGGTAAGAATGAAATTACTGTCGATGAAATTATAATCAACAATGCTATAAGCTTAGCTTTTTTCTTTTTCTTTAGCATAGCCATCGTTCCCGGCCTCGTATTTTTTTTTTTTTTTTTTTTTACGTTATCATTTTCTTTGTTTCTATTACAGTTGAAGCGAAACTGACACTGTTCTTCATCATTATTTTTCTTCTTAATATCATCTGCATTATCATCATTATTATCGTTATTTTTTATTATCGTCATAATTTTCATCATTTTTTTTCTTGGTATTATTATCACCATTTTCATTATTTCTTTGATGTCAATTACATTAAATGGCACAAGCATAAACATAGAAAGAAACACATTTTCCCTCATAGACTTACACATCAACTCGTTCTGACTCTGTCAACCATTTCATACGAATTTCGGAATAGGGCTAAAGGAAGGACCTGACTAAGGCCTTAAAGGACCGACACAACGAACACGAAATAAAGAATGATTCTTAGGACCTGAGTCACGCTCCTCAAAGGCTTGGCAGCGCCTCGGACGCTATACATACACCGTCGCGTCACCGACTCGCGCCTCCGATGCCGCATATAAAGCTCGGGATCGTCTTCAGCCTCTTCAGTACAAGAGCGACCATCCTCGCACCTCCTGAGGCTAAAGAAGTGACTTTCATCTGAAAATCTAGTGAGCGTAATGGCGCCCATCCAGAAGTGTTACGACGTGAAGATCTCTGCCCCTGGCGTGAGCTGCCGTCGGTGCGGAGGATCCTCCAAGAGGTCCTGGGACACGTTCCTTCCCATCGCTCGAAGGGGAAGCTTCTTCCAAGATTCGTTCTTCGCCAATATACAGCACGACTTCGACGCCGCCGTCAGGGACGTTCTGAACCGATGGAGTGACGACGACCTCACACTGACGGACCGCAGGAGCCACAGCGACATCATGGGGCGGTACAGACAGCTTCGCTCTCGTAACAGGAAGGAAGAGAACCAGGCCATCACAGTGACTTCAGACAGCTCTAGTCATAAGGTAAGGCGTTCACACACACTCACACAAGCACACAAACTCACGCACACACACATAATGTGAGATATAGCGAAATTGATTTTATTCAGAGAAGTGGTTCTCAACCTCTGCAGTCTGACGGCAAACCAAAATCCTGCACTTCTCTGACACAGCAACTCTAAATTTCGTGAATATAGGAATATGAATGTATTATGAAAAATAAAACAGCAAAGAAAGCTTGATGAACTCAAATCAATGGAGTAGAGGTTAATTAAGGTGTTAACAAAGCCCCAATGTCTGAAATGAAATTTGTGTTTATAAAGAAAAAATGGTCAGTGGCAAATGATAGATAACATTGAAAACACTCACACAAGGCATGCACAGCTGCATTATACACTTGGTTACTGAGGAGTTAATCTCACAGATTGTTCTGGATATGCACGACTTCATGGGTGGAGATGTGAAGGTGAAGGTAGTAGGTGAGAAGGAACTGGTGGTGGAAGGACGTATGGAGAAGGAAGAGGGAAGATCCTCCATGTCTGCACACTCCTTCAGAAGACGATTTTCCTTGCCTCATCTTACTGACATGACAGCGATCACATCTGTCATGTCTTCGGATGGAATCCTCATAATCAATGTGCCAGAAGTTGTAAGTATCTACTGGTTGGGATCTTAATTGAATTGCAGTTATACAAGTAAAATGAAATACGATATCGTTTTGTGAAATGTCAATCTGAAATTCTTCCTTCTTCAGGAAGAAGATGCACGGCAGAAGGCCACCGTCATTCCCGTCCACGTCGAGAAAACTGAAAATTCCTCAAGAATGCAGAACTGGGAATCTTCTAACACATCTTCCACTGCGTCTGCCGAGGCCACCTCCGTACAAGGAAAGTCCTTGGAGGTGGATCAAGAGGAATGTGAATGTGCAAGATGTTCTTTGGAAAATAGATGCCAGGCTAAGAACACACAGATTCCACTCAGCAATGCATCTCACTCACGGACTGAGGAAGGAGTTTCTGCCTCAAAACAAAGTTCTTCAGTGTACACAAAATCGTCTCAGAATGAAGGTGCAGAAATTGGCTCTTATGGATCATGGGACACTTTCCTGCCCATCACACGAAGAGGAAATTTCTTCAAGGACTCTTTCTTCTCTGATATACATCAGGACTTCAACTCCGCCATCAAGGAGGTCCTGGAAAGGTGGAATGACACCGATCTGAGGCTGAGAGACCGCTGGGACGGCGCCGATTTCCTCGACCACTACAGGCAGCTTCGATCCCGCGACTTGAAGGAGGAGAATCAGGCTGTCACCGTCGCATCAGGCAACTCTAGTTATAAGGTACGTCTCATCTTCACAAACCAATTTAGCAATGGATGGAGCATTTCTGATGACATGGACATTACTACTTGAACTGTGGGTACAGATGAAGTCCTAATCATCACTACATTTGTCACAGATTGTGTTGGATGTCCATGACTTCATGGCTGGAGATGTGAAGGTGAAGGTGGTGGACGAGAGGGAGTTGTTAGTGGAAGGACGTGTGGAAAAGAAGGAAGAGGGAAGCTCATCCCTGTCGTCCTATTCCTTCCGACGACGCTTCACTCTGCCACAGCACACTGACATGACAGCCATCACATCTGTCATGTCTTCAGACGGTATCCTGACGATCACTGCTCCTGCAAAGGTAAGATTTTTGTTTAATATTTGGCCTTAAGGTCGCATAAATGAACTCTAAACAGTAAATAAATATTGCATGATTGAAAAGAGAAAGTTTCTCATGATTAAAATCTTACATTTGACAGAACGGCAAGGCTCAGCAAGCCAAAAGCATCCCGGTCACAGTCGAAGGAAAACGGGCTGTTTCTCAGGAATCCTCCTCCTCTTCCACAAAGACAAGTGTTACCAACGAATCTGTCAAGGAAAGGAAAGAAGATTGTGAATGCCTCCACTCTTCCAAGACAAGCGAAGAGAAGACTTCTCAGAAGCCAAATGGGATGAAGATTCCAATCCAGATTATCGGATCTGTGACAAAGGAGTCTGAAAAGGCTCGAAGCTCCTCTGCAGACACCTACGTAAGCTCTCAAGAGAACGTCAGTCAGACTCAAGTTCAGGAGCAAAAGCAAAGGAAGGCTGAAACCATAACTTCTAAGGAATCAAGTGCTGCAACATCTACCTCCGTTAATAGAGAAAGGCAGTCTGGTGAGAAGAGGGAATGCGAGTCTCAGGAGAAATCGTCCCTTGTGGAAAGTACAAGTTGCCACGAATCTGGAAGCAAGTTCATCCCTATTAGAAGAAGAGGACTTTTCTTTAGCGATTCTGTGTTTCAAGACACCAGGGATGACTTCCACAGGGCAATAAAGGAGGTGCTAAGGAGCTGGGGAGAGGAATCGTCCATGTTCGATGCTCTCACAAGCTACAGAAATCTTCGTTCTCGAGATCTTAGAGAGGAGAACCAGGCTGTCACGTCACTGGAGGACGAATCTTACCATAAGGTAAACATAGTCGCTTGTGTTTGTCCTTTAAGATGCTCTCTATAATCTATTGTGTGGTGCCTTTACTTTTATGAGTCTGATCTCTATGTTTCATTTCAGTTTGTGCTCGATGTTCATGATTTTATGAACGGCGGAGAGATCAGCGTGAAGGCAGTGAACGATCGAGAGCTGGTGGTCGAAGGTCACTTGGAGAAGAAGGAAGACGGTTCCAAGTCCAGCAAGCGGTTCCTTCGGCGCTTCGTTGTTCCTGGAGACATTCAGTTGGAGGCCGTCACTTCGGTCATGTCTTCTGACGGTGTCCTGACAATTTCGGCTCCCAAAAGAGTAAGCTCATTCCTTAAACCGTTTTAGTTATTAATTTTGAAATATATATTGGAGTTTCAGTTGCGATTGAGAATATATATTTTAGTAAAGTCTTACACCTTTCAGAAGCCAACGATTGCAATCCAAGAAGTCAAAGTACCAGTGACCATCGAGGAAAAAGGAAGCAAGAGCCACACAGAGATCGAAGACGAAATCATGAGCTCGGAAGGAGGTAGCCATGAGGCTTCATCAGCATTCAATATCAGCACTGAAGGAAAACAAAACGTGAAGCTCATAATGTAAAGGAAACTTCCGCTAAGGCATCGTCTCGGTTCTCCTCCGTCGATACTGCTTCGTTTACGTCAAATGTGAGTACAAAGAAAAGCAAAGTGACTAATTGTCCAGGATAGTATAACAGAACTAGGGCTTGGGTAGTTGCGTATGTATGAATGAACAAACGATCTCTTCCACAGGAAAGTCAAACACGCAGGCACGTCATTCCGGTTCACTACGAAGTTGGTAATGAAAGCGACAGCCTCGAGCAACTTGATCAGCAGCGTCAAGTTACTGTGAGGGACAGTCGAGTCTCCGATGATGCTGGAAAATCGGAGTGTGAGGCGAAAGTGTCTTCTGATTCCCTTAAGAGTAAACGCAAATGCGCTTCAGGAAGTTCATACTTGCCCATAATCAGGAAAGGTCTGTTTTCCGAAGACCATTTCTTCGAGAATGTACGTCAGAACTACAGTGAGGCTGTGAAGGAAGTGCTGGAAAGTGCGAATGAATGGTCCTGTGAAAGGGACGCCATGCAGGTCTACCGAAATTTGCGTCAACGCAATCTGCAAGTAGAAAACCAAGCATTCTCTGTGACTGAGGATGAACACACTCACAAGGTAGGACTTGAGACTAGAAAGTGTTGTGTTTATTTTGAGATAGTCGATGTTGCGTAGGTAAAATTGCCTCAAGTTGTTATCTAAGTCAGTTGTTTGTTCCCTCAGGTTGTAATGGACGTGCATGACTTTACCAGCGGAGATGTGACAGTGTCGCTGGTGGGAGGAAGTGAGCTTGTGATCGAAGGGCAAGCAGAGAAGCAGGAAGGCAGTTGTTCGGCGAGGAAGAGCTTCTGTCGCCGCTTTTTGTTGCCTGAACTGGTTGAGCGAGACGCCATTAGCTCGGCGCTGTCCTCCGACGGCATTCTCAGCGTGATCTCGTCCAAGAGAGGGAAGTCGGACGCGAAGGCAA